AATTTTTTATGATTCAATTTCCCAAAATAATAGTACCCGAATGTTAAGTAAAATTTCTTTAGTACATTAGCTACCTGCCAATAAAAGTCCCGTCAAAATCGGTCCAGCCATTTCGGAGATTAGCCAACATTTGTAAAAAATATACCGTATATGTACCGTATGTATATATTCATGTGCTGTTATTGCGGTTATTTTTTTTTATTACAAACAGACACTTCAATTTTATTTATCTGTTTAGATAGAGATTTGTCATTCATTACTAAAACTAATCATTATGATGGCTAAAAGGCTAGGCTTATGGTTATTTCGACCTAATTTCTAACCAGCACTCCAGTAATTAGCGGTTCGCTCTAGTTTTCAATAGCTTAATTAGACTTCAATAAAAAGTATTATTTGCAGTACTTTTATATATTACTTCACCAGTAAATTATTTAGGTATAGAAACGTGTTTTTAACCCTTGTAATGTCATGTCAGTCACCGTGCCGGGCGCTAGTGGAGGATTGAATTTCACAATTTTAAACTTGGCTGTTAAAGTGTTAAGAAAAATCTTTAGTCCTATAACTAATTTTAGTTGGAGTGGCATTTCTTGCACTCGTAGATTGGTTGCAAACGTATTACAACGAGTCCAACTACGAAGTTCTAAGCTTGATTAAAATAGTTAAACAGTGAAAGGCTAAGTATTTATTAACTTTTCTAGCAGTAGGTACGGAAATAGTCAGTACTTGGTAATTTCGATGTACATTTTATGTTCCTAAATATTGACCATTATTTTTTTAATATGTACCCTCGGCTCCACGCGGTAACGAAAAACACTGATGTTTCAATGAAATCCAAATATTACTATTAATATTATTATTTGGTCTAATTGAAATAAATTATTTTGACTTTTGACCCTTTTTTTTAAGGGGGGAAAAATCATCGAATGACTGCTGCCGCCTGGGTGAGGCGGGAGGGAGTGTCAGACTCTTACTGACTAAAAACCACCCCGTTCTTTCTCCTGCATGTCGAGTCAGAGCCCCGGTTACCCGTCAGGTTCTCCGCGACACTTTTGACCCTTAAAGAGGTTGAAAAAGAAAGTTTGAAGATAGACTAACCGCCCCAAGCGCGCCACTGCTTCCGATATTTTATTCGCCTCCATGCAAGTTTGCATACAACGGTGAATCATATCGGGCACATATGACCAACGCTAAAGTTCCCTACTCACCTATACGTTAGCGACATTACTTTATGTTTATGACATATCTTCTGTACAGTCGTATGATCGTGGACTAGTTGCGAACAAAACAGGTCGACCAATTATGAGGAGTGCTTGGTGGATTTGTTCCGAAGCGTGACAGATTTTAAATAGGTCAGATATATTCAGTACCTATTTGCTGTACGATTCATATTCTGCATTAATGGTGCAAATATTGTGGGACCAGTTATACAGCACAAATAGTCTATTTGAATGGATAATAAAAATTCAAATACCCAATTCTAAGTTTGGGAGAGCCATGGGCCGGCTCGACCGGAATGATACCACGGCCTCTCAGGAAACAGATGTGAAAGAACGTTTATGTTGTGTTTCGTAGCGTGAATGAGGTTACCATGGGGCTCAATTACCACTACTTACGAATTTCCCACTCCCCACTCCTTGAATCTCCAACAATCCTCAAATTCCTCTTAAAAAATACTTAAAAGGCCGGTAAAACACTTGTAACGGCTCTGGTCCATGGGCGACGACGATTAATTACCACCAGATGATTCGTCTGCTCATTTACCGGCTTGTCCCTTATGTAAAAAACGTTAAATGATGTACGGGAAACATTCAATGGTACGATATTGTAATAGGCTCCTATTAAAATGTCGACATCGTCAAAGTTTGATCGACAACTCAAACAAAGTTAGATGATCATTTTCCATGTAAATTGTTAGTACCGAGAAATATAATTTTATTAACACGTGCCTTTTATTGGTTACCACAAAATAATTATCATAATCATTATTATAATTTAATCTGGCTATGGATAAATTTTCCAGAAATCAGTTTTTGTTGGAATATATCAGTTTTAGTAATTGTGTGGTTGCGATGAAAATGATCAAATAATAATTTAATTATCTTTCACGTTTTTGACCGGCTGCGACCTATGGTTAGTCAATTAGAAACATCAAGGTTATTGCCGCTGGAACGGGAATTTTTAAATTGTAAAACAATATAATTCATCATGCTGTTAGCTTCTAGAGAGTACAGGCAGGAATGTTTCCATGTTAACATCAAGCGATACAAAACCAATTAGTGAAGGTCTCGCTTTGTTTGTCCTCTCTGCACTCTCAGCGGTCAGTCAATACTAGTTTTGCATAGCTTTTTTTTGCATAGCTTGATGTGTATCTGTATTACTTTTAAAAATAGCATATTTATAAGAACTGGAGTGGACTGAAAACCGCATCAAAATCGGTTTAGCCAATCGCGAGATAATAGCGCACAAACATACATGCATACAAACATACATACAGGTCAAATTGAGAACCTCCTTCTTTTTTTGAAGTCGGCTAAAAATAGAGTCGCGGCCGGTCAGAGGTGAAGCGAATGACCGGCACAAGGGAAATAGGCCAGATTGTTAAAGAATGTTTCAACTCGATATAGAACTGAATAAAGTTGAACATAATATACCTATTCTGAATGAAACGATTCAATCAGATTGTTTGGTTTCAGTCTATCAATGTTCTCATGCATTTTTAATTTGAAGTAATAATAGGTTCGCGGCCGTTCACGTGATTGTTCGACGCGGTGATCGGTCGACGGCTCGTGAACATATCGCTGTGGGTTTAGTTTTCACTTTGTTTAAATAGTACGGATTTTTGATGACTTAGTTATCGAAGTAAAATAGAAATTGATAGGGATTTATACTTTCTAAAATACTTAAGTAGTGATATTCTATTTCCATGAATAGCTTCGTAGCAACAATAGATAGTACTGTCGTCATAACCTTGTTTCATTATTTATCGTGGTCGTAATCATAATTGAAATTGCAATAAAAAGCCAACGATTCATCAACAGCCATTAAATGCCCACTGCTGAGCAAAGCCTCTTCTCACACGGAGAAGGTTTGATCATTAAACACCACGCTTGCACAATGCGGGTTGGCGATTTCAAGCTTGTAATTAGAAATTATAAATCCAGGTTTCCTCACGATGTTTTCCTTCATCGTTTGTCAGTGGTGTCTAAATATTCTTAGAAAGAACATATAACTCGGAAAAAGTCACATTGGTACTAGCCGTTGGTAGGTTTCGAACCGCCACCCTCATTCATGAGAAGCGGGCGTCTTAAACCTCTGGGCCACCACGACATACGATTAATAAGTTTCAAATCCGTAGACCACCTGTTCCCTTTATTGAATTTATATTTTGGATAAAAAATCTCATTCGTAAAATATCACTAACAAGACCTCTTATCAAAATATACACGAACTTAACTACCTATTAGGCGTGTCTCCAATTAAATCTTCGAAAAATTGTGGTCCACAACGAGACTTACGAGGACCAAGTAATATTAATTATTATCTTTTCAGCTTACTTATGTAACTGTTTGACGAAGAACTAGACTAGTTTCATGCATGCATAGTAGATTTAAGTGTGGGAGAGCCATGCTTCGAAACGAATGGGCCGGCTCGACCGGAGTGATACCACGGTCTCACAGAAAACCGATGTGAAACAACGCTTGCGTTGTGTTTCGTCGTGTGAGTGAGGTTACCGGAGGCCATTTACCCTCCCCCTTCCCCAATCCCTGAATCCCCAACGATCCTCAAACTCGTAATCCCCAAAATAACGTAACGCACTTGTAACGCCTCTGGTGTTCCAGGTGTCCATGGGCGACGCCGATTGCTTACCATTAGGTGATCCGTCTGCCCGTTTACCGGTTTATGCTATAAAAAAATGCTATACTAGCCATGCTAGAGGCTCATATTCATGAGCAGCATTCCGCGATGTGAGTAAACCGAAAAATTATAACCAATTCAGTATGTCTCACGAAGGTTTTAATACAAACAAGTAATACTAAAGAAAAGGCATCGAAATAAATGAAAATGTAGAGTACTGCAAGAAATTCCCTAGACGACGCGAGCGATATCTTACCTAACTGTTCGCGATATTATACTGTTGGGCTGTATGCAAATGATGAGCAAGTTTTAATGATGTACGCTCGCGGAAGATCTTATACCTAAGTTCGGCGTCGCGGAGAACCTAACGGGTAACCGGGGCTCCGGCTCGACGTGCAGGAGAAGGAACGGGGTGGTTTTTAGTCAGTAAGAGTCTGACACTCCCTCCCGCCTCACCCAGGCGGGGGCAGTCATTCGATGATTTTCCCCCCTTAAAAAAAAAAAAAAAAAATACCTAAGTTCGGTAACCTGATGACGCAACCTACATTACTTCATCCTACTTCTAAATGGGGTCGCAGTTCTCTCTCATTTTTCTTCCAAGCGATTTTATCTTCCACACAATGGACCCGCAATTATCCAGTTTAAGCTCCTTCTAATAGAGCCCGCTTTGTCTTAATAAATTAATTGTTAGCAGCAAACTAGTGCTTTTCGTATTTAAAGCACCGAATTACGAAAGTTGCTGCATTCAGCTAAATCTTGAAAGGGGAAAATCTTGAGAATCTAGTCTTAGAGATTTGCCCTGAATTAAGATTTATGTGAACGCTACAGGAGGCTGGCTACACACGTAACTACAATGTAGACTAACCCGACATGAATATTTGATTTACCGATGTACAAATCGCAACAAACAAGTCGACATTGTATAAGATACAATGTATTCGTTGGTTAGACTCAGTATAGCTACTTCGGTAAATATCAGTTCTGCGTACCGTTGCAATTTTGTATTTCAAAGAAACTGTAGTTTAATAATTTTACAATAATTAAAAATGTAAATAAATTAGTTTCTTTACTTAAAGATAACGCTGGCTAAATACATGTAAATTTAAACGAAGTTTTACTGATTTGAGTTTTATTTTATTTAACAGATTGGGTGTGACATTTCTTCGTTTTTAATCTATCTTCCTGGGACCTGACACCGGTAAGTGAAGTCTATACTAGTGTGTAACACATCATCACACTTGTTCTCAGATATGTTACAAGTAGTATAAGTAATTGACTCCTTGATTTTACTGAGAATTATGTTATAGTATCTAACTCTGAATTTACTGGAGATTGAGTTTAGTAATAACTTTAGTAATGAATACCAACAATACATACACAGTCATTTACATTGTTTTTTTTAAACTGTTTCCCCACCCTAGGATTTTCTCGTATAAAACTACTTCTTAGATAAAAATACAATTTTATGAACGCACCCACAACACAGGACACAAACACATGACACCTAGACCCGGAACAGCAATCTGTGGACCACACAAAGAGTGGTTCCGTGAGGGATCAAACCCGCGCACACGTTGCGCACCAACCGTGCAGTCATTAACTAAGCACATAAAATGATCGATGATGATGATGATGTTGTTAACACAAATGTGTTAACTAATCGTTAAAAATCAGTGATAAGAAATAAACTTTATTTCGATCACGTATTTTAGGGGATGCAAACATCTAGTGATGAATATTCATGCAACATGTTTGGTTAACGAAGTAAATTCGTCAGATATTGGCTCTCAACTTATAGCCACCAACAGAAATATAGCTTAAAGAAAGGCAGTCGCATTTTTCAAGCAAAAAGTAAAAAAGCGAAGAAATCGAAAAATAAAGAATAAAGTAGATAGACAAGCGACTATTTCAGAAGCAAAATCCTATGACAATATGGGTTATTAAAGATTCAGTGCGTCTTGTAAGCTAGGCGGCGCATGTCCAGTTGTCCATATTTATGAGCTGATATAGAGGTACAGACAGGTATTATTGTCTCCATGCAGCCAGCACTTAAAAATGCTCTAAACATAGTCTGTATCCATTCGGAGCTGACCTGCATATCAAAATTGGGTCTCAGTAAAGAATAGATAGCCCTATATTTTCGAGGCAGACTGAAGAAGATTGGAGAATTTTATTGTGATATCTACAAAAATCATTTGACTATTTAGAACGAAATGTTGATAAAACTAATAACATTTTAATGCCTGTAAAGGTGATAAAAGACAATCGATACTTGATTAGTTATGAATGTGTCACTAATGAATTGACATTAATATGTCGCGACGTTTACAAGGCGTCTCAGCATTAGACGTAGTTTATGCATCAAAGTTGTCGTAGTCGTATTAAGGCAATCCGCAAATCTTAATTAATGAACTAATGTACTACATCAATAGTATTATGTGAAAATTGAGTTTAAACTGTGATATAATAGTAATAAGTGATTAAGTGAGATAATGTGGTACATTTGTGTTCAGGTATGCCTGCCAAAATGATGAGCGCAAGAGGTGGCGGCGCAGCTGGTGGCGACGTCAGCGTAGCTGACAGCCCACTGGCTTCCTTCGAAACATTAACTCAAGCCGCCATCATCGCCGTCATGGGCATTGCTATAGTCGTCTCTAATATTCTAATTATAGCTTCTTTCCTTAACTTTAAAGGTAAGCAAAATGTCATTATTTTTTAGTCAATATAAAAAGATGGTCTCGTCCCTAGATTTTGTTATGACGTTATGTATGTGATTTTTTGCTAGTCCTTGTGCTTAATACTACAATAGTCACGATCCGTAATCGGTTTTAGTCTGTATTATCCGTTGGAAAATTTAATCCGTGCTGAAGTGGATAATCTAGTGAATTGGTCAGGTTTCTTTCGAACGGTTTACATTAGTACATTGAACGCAAAACTGGAACACCAGTGTGCCTGTATCAACATATTTCAATTACCAACATTCAATATTTTTTAATAGTTCGTAATTACCTGGTCCCTAGTTGGGGAAGTAATTAATGCAATGTAAACATGAATTTCTCACTGTAGCGGAAATAAATTAGTTTTGTCTGATATTTATTTTCTGTTTGCTTCATTGAAATAAAATTAACGTGCGATAATATTTGTTTGATGCAGGTCTTTCCAATGAAGTGATTAACTATTACTTGCTATCGCTGGCTGTGGCGGATCTCTTGATCGGCGTGTTCGTGGTGCCGCTGTCGGTGTACCCCGCCATCACGGGGCGCTGGATGTTCGGCGACCTGATGTGCCGGCTGGCGGGCTACGTGGAAGTCACGCTCTGGTCCGTGTCTGTCTACACCTTCATGTGGATCTCCGTTGACCGTTATCTCGCAGTACGGAAGCCTCTCCGCTATGAGACGGTTAGTGCGACGGTAGTTATCCTTTTCAATATTTTTTTTTAGCTAGCTAGCTTGCATCTTTTATGCATTCGCATTTAGCAATTTGATCATTCGAGTCTTTTGATAAATTTAAAATGAACAAAATCATTTTTCCTAACCATATGAAAGTAATTGATTCTTCTTGTAACTATAATACTATTTAGTAGACTACTTACCATTTATTTTATCTGTCTTTTTAAAATCTCCTTTGTACTTAATTACATTTACATCTACATTTTAGTCGAACTTTTTTCTTTTGTTAGCATGAAGATTAATTTTTTACCTTTAATATTTCTTCCTATTACTTTTTCAATGATTTTGTCCCAGTTGAAATATACGATATAAGAAATGATAGTGTAGTATAGGCCGCACGTGTTCTAGGCTAATTATTAATAACAATGTCCATGGACCAGGTACAAACGCGCACTAGAAGCCAATGTTGGATGGTGTTCACATGGATTTCAGCCGCAATGCTTTGCTGTCCTCCTCTTCTTGGCTACAAAAAGGAAGCAAACTTCGACAAGGAAACGTTTATCTGCATGTTAGACTGGGGCACTACGTACGCGTACACAGCAACCCTCGGTATCCTCGTGCTGGGACCAAGCGTTATATCGATCGTGTATAACTATTATTATATTTTTTCAATGAAACGTAAACTTAACAGCGGCGTACCTATCCACGACAAAGAGTACGCGACTGCTCTTGCTGAGAACCTATCAAACCCGAGTCACTGGATGAGTTTCATCATGGTCTGCACATTTTGGCTGAGTTGGACTCCCTACGTTGTCGTCAAGCTTTACGAGTATTGTACTGATCAGGAAATAAAGATACCGATGTTACATTTCGGCGTAGTTTGGATGGGCATTTTAAATTCGTTTTGGAAGATTGTTATACTACTTATGTTCAGCCCACAATTTCGCCTAGCGCTTCGAATATTATGCCTGACAGCATGCTGCCGCTCCAAGGGGCGCCTGGCTGCGGAGCTAATGGGCCTGGACAATGATGACTGAGTTCATCTTCTGGCAGGTATGTAAATCCTTTGCGAAGTCAACAACTTGAGCAACACGCTCCATTGTGCTGCAGTCAATATTATGGATTTAGATACCTTGCCTGGCTTAGTCCGCCATGACAGTGCTCGTGGGTTTGGAGTCTTAAATAGAGACATAATAATAATTATGGTTGCCACAAGTTGTCCTAATATTGCTGTATTTAGAAAGTCGTGATGTTTGTTGACAAAGTAAAGTCACTACTGATCGTTCATCCCATTTTGTGCTTGTACGATCTATGTAGATCTCACAGGTTTCTAACGAAGGTTACTCGAACAGTTAAAGTTGTTATAGACTGCGATGTGTAATTGAGTTATGATTTCAGTAGTCAATGACTTTTGACAATAATGTGTTTAAGTTGGAAGTTAGGAAACACTTTGCTCTGTGCAATAAATATCATATCATTTTCTCAATAAAAACTCGTTACTTCTAAGCATTATGTAGTTTTTAACTCATTCTAAATTAAAAATGTAAGAAATGTTTGGTATTTAAATAAATATTTATTTAGATAGTTAATCTAAGTACATTAATATTATTATAGGTTAGTATATAGTAAGATATAGGGCGCTTTTAAAAGACATTGTTGATTCATGTACTATTGGAATGTTTCGTGGATGTGTTTATATAGGTATTCATATGAAACGGAGCCAAGCATTGAAGTTTAGGTTCGTTTTATATGAATGTGTCGCACCCTTAGAATAAAAGTAACTTTACTATAAACTTGACATAGTACACATGGTATGTGCATGTACATTTTTAACAGGGAGAAGTACATAATTTATTGATCGGGCAGTCGCAGGCGGGTAATCGGCCACACTCGCAATATACACATTACGTACATAATAATATGCAGGATTTTTTTAAAACTTTGTGTCTATTTTTTTTAATTGCATTTATTTCATTCAGTTACTTTAATTCTATGGGTGCGGTATGTTTGAACGTCATTTCAATTCTAAAATTATAATGTGTTCTATTTAAATATGTATAGTACAAGCCAAATATTGTTTCGCTTCGGCGTTACGTCGGCGAGAATTCTAAAATATTTACAAATCACGAATAAATGCTTTATTTTAAATAGAATATTTGATAGATACGTGTATCATAGCAATATCTGAAGATGGATAGATATCTTGGATGGTAAATGTCTAATATACTAGTTGAAGAAAAACACTGAGCTAAAAATGTGTGCCAGTGCTTGTCCATGTATCTGAAGAGTATGCCTTAGGTACTTGTAGTGTTAAAGAAACAATGATATTAAAAGTTCAAACAAGGTATGAAACAATGGAAAGTCAATATCAATAAATGTCCTATAAAAAGTTAATCGCAAAATGTATGTTTTCATTATAACTGACGTACTTGTATGAAAACAAGTGAGCCGTCGGATCAAAACATGGTTAATATTCAATTTGGCTTTATCGAGTTCCAAAAATAATTCAATTTATGCATTACGGCTTACTGCCGGTAAAATAAAACTGTAAAAGCCTGCACCGTTATAATTACATTTTAATTTTTATCTTCTCAAATATTGAACGTTTATTTGGATATCCCACAATTTCGTGAGTAATTGAGTTATTGGTAAAAATGTGATTGCCAATTGAACATGGCAAATTTATTAAAAACAAATAATAACAAACATTAAGTGAGGAATTTAAAGCCTGCTGTGCTTTATATTTGCGTGAGCTTGGTTGTAGGTATCTATGTATTTAACTATGGAATTATGAACACCATACGTGGGAAGTACGTACAGGTACCTACCCATTATACAACCAGATTGACTTTGACAAGAATTTGGTGTGTAAGTAAGAAAGCAAACATTAATTTGGTACGCAGACAATAACGTTGATCGGCTACGGAATTGAGTACCGATCATATAATATACTAAAACCCGAATACTAAAAGGCTACTCAATTTTAAATAGGGTAGATGACTATTTTTTATTTTAATGTCCGTCTGATATATTACTTTAAAAAATTACAAATGTATTTTTTATTTTTTTTCAGAAATGAATACTTTAGATGATATTTTGATTCGGAATGTCGCGTGACGTCACTTCTATGTACATTTTATACGTAGAAATGACGTTTCAGCCCCCACTTCTAAACTTTTATTCGTTATATCTAAGTATCACTTTATTATACAACAAAAGAAAAAAATATGTGTCTAATATTTTTTATTACCTAACTGACGGACTAATTAGATTTTTAACTTTCATACCCTGTCATCATCCCTATTGTACTTAAATATCGTGCCATCTTTGACAAAGAATTTGTAGCGACAGAACTAGACTTAAGCGCGTCTTAAAGTTGAGTGGCGTTTGAGTGTTTGGACATAAAACATTAATCACTGTCTATGTACACACGGCTACACAACGAGCTTTACATAACCAGTATAAACTGAACGTTAAATGTGCGGAAAGATGATGCGAAACGACACCAGGATAAACTGGTTTTGTATAGATTGATTTGTAGCCGTGTGTACTAGGTAAGCCATTCTTTATATGTTACCTGCCTGCCAAATTCGAAATACAAGCTATTTGTACTGCAATTCACAAAAAAGAATTTATTACGTAAAGAGCTCCTTTCCATTCTGTGGATAATCAGGATGCAGTTGTGCAGTTACGAAATTAAAACTTAATATTGTGTTAGTCACGCTCATTAAATTTAAATGAAATTAGCGGACGAGAGACGGTCGTCGCGTGCTATTAAGCTACCTAACAAGCCAGAGTACTCATTCAAAAATAAAGTAGATAAGTAATGGGATTTTATAGGACCTATAACTGAATGTTTGTCCCAATTAATAAAAGCCTTAATATATAGAGGTAAATAACGACTCTTCAGTCGATTGAATAAACTCACAAATTAGTAGTCGCTTCGTTCTCTGGCTACGATAAATAAGTACCTATGCTAGATGATGCAATTTCGTACAAAATTCATAGATACTGTTAAACGCAAGTTTTTGGAAAAAATATTGAATTGTAATTGTCATCACACTTACACTTATTGGATACTCGCCCGCCGATGTAAAATCTTATATTCTCAAATTGAAGGCTGTGCTTAGACTATCTATGATTTGTTTAATTTTTAGATTATGATATAATTAGTTGATATTTAAATCTACTCTACTGTCTACTGTCACTGCCTGTGTTATTGTATTTAATATATTGCTAAGGATGAATAACAATGTTACTGCTTTGCAGTAACTGCATTACATATTGCTGGGCGTCAACGACTTGACACCGCGGGGCGCCGCGCCGCGCCATACTGTAATTACGTTTCTTAAACCAATTATACGATGTGGCTTATTATTTAGAGAATTAATTTAGACTAAGTTATCGAGTCTCTTAAATATGTATTTAATTAAATTTAAGTTGATGTGGTACTACCTACATTAGGTACTTATATCCAAACTGCCTTTTTGTATGATTAATTCTAGTTACTGTATTGTGTTGTATTATTAATTGATCGAAGATTGTATTGTTCTTAATGTACGTATACTCCAAGTGTTCAAAGTGTGTATAGCTTGTTCTGTATGTACGTAACTGAAGTTCTGAATTGTTAATAGGCTGCAGATGTTGGGCTCCGATCATTGTTGTGTCAGAAAGCCTGCCGGGTGCAGCTACCGTATTATTCATTAGTTAAACAAACACCCAAACGCATACACCTAAGTCTACCTGTGTGAGGTAAACCTCTTTGTATTGAGGTAAATATTATTCTATGGTTATGTAATTCTTGTACAACATTATTCCTCATATTTATTTAGTTTTATCATTATGAAAACTGGGTAATTTCTTGGCTTCCTTTTTAAAATAGTATTATATTACTCTTACCTCAGGCCTAGTCCGACAAGGAACACTATGTCGATGATATTTTCGAAAACTTCTGGGCTCGAAAAATGTAAAAAAATTTATAGACTCAAAGGCATATAAAAATATTCTTAGACTAGAAAAAAACTATATGAAATGAAACAAAAACTAGAATAGGTACAGTCTGTTATTGTCGAAAATACTTCTACAAAATAACAAATATATAAGATACTAAAATTGTATCGTTATTCTAAAATTCTTGAAACTATTTCACTGCCTTCGAAATTCAAATATGATTGAAATAAAAAAATACTAAAATAAATAATTTAAGAAAAAATTAAGTCTATTGGCGTATGTATTCATTCACTATAAATAATATAATAACTACTTATACATAGCTAGGTACTGTAACTTATAGTATAGGTCAACCAAGGCTTTTCTGTCTTTCTTTATTAGATTTTCAGCTTTGTTGTATTGGTGTAAAGTTGAAAATCTAATGCAAATTGACTGATTGCTGCCGGTTAACCAGTTGGTGCCCGTTTAATCGTACTCACTCGATAGTATTTGCCTTAAGTAAGTACAAGAAGTTCTAGAAACGCAAACACCAAGTAACTAATCAATTCTGTGTAAACTTTACTCCGAGTATATACATAATATAATATGTGGCAGTTAGATCCGCATTAGACAAAAAGTATTTACATATATAGGAACCTACGTTCAATAAGACAAGTTATAAACTCAATATTTTAACGGTCTATAAGCAATTTACTCATAAAATAAAACTCATTCGTGTATTAATTTAACGTAAAGGCCACGTATGCATTGCAATTATTCCTAATTATAAATTTTCAATGAAAATTATAATTATGAACATCATATTCTGATGTCAACGCTTGGTCCGCAAAGAGAATATTCACTGTTTAAGAGCCTTCAATTCAATTATAATAGTAGAGGAGCCCACGATGTTAAATTTGGATTTACTCGAGTGTCGTTGGGACCTATTGCATTTTGAAGATATGCTTATAGAAAGAAAAAAATAGTTTATTGTCAATTTCTTCCACCGGTGGGGGAAGGGGGAATCCACAGATCTTTGAAATTGTTACGCATAACTTTTGTTCTAGTGGTCGAGCGTGTCCGATATTGATAGTGTTCATGCTTCATGTGTCTTTGATAATGAAAAACTCTTAATCTGCCAGTTTGCATGGTGGGGTTGAATGCTCTGGAGGATACAAACGAGAACCTTTCAAAATCCCCCACTCATGCAAATCAAGCTCGGATGGCTGGATTTTTTAAACGCAATTCCTTTAGCGATCTGTTGACTTCTCTTCCCTTAATCTGACGAAACTGACTTTATTTAGTCAGATATTTTTGTTATTTTTTAGTCCCCCCATTCTAATCAAATATGGTGGGTATATTCAAAATGACACTAGGTTTTCCCCATATGCTGCGCACGAATAACTACCGAAATCCCTTCATGGGCTCCCTTACTATAATAGCGTGATTTTTTATAGTCTTTCGCCCTCCTGGATATGGACTGTACAACACAAAAGAATTTTAAAAATCCAATTTGAAGTTCCAGAGGTTAGCGCATTCAAACAAAAAACTAACTCTTCAGCTTCATACAATAAAAATAGGACAAGATTGACACAAAGCATTGTTTGTTTGATGCAATTTTGCAAACAACGTTCCTCTTTGTATGTTAAAATTCAATGGAAAGTCGTTTTACAGTGAAGTGCACAACAATTCGAGTACAATAGTATAATTAAAGTAAATAATTGATAATATAATTACGAATACTAATATATTGCGGTCAATTTATTTCACATAATCATTTTAGAGTTATATATTTATGCAAATGAACAGTTGCGTGGTCAGTGTTGTCTATATAACGTAATAAAATACCTTTTTTATTTGCCTTCCACAGTCATGTCGTGTGTGACGGATTGTATCAATTAGTGATAGTGATTCTCTGAGTGGCTGATGAGAGAAGTGATCCATCACTCTCGTGTGATAATAGTACAGCTGACTTTTAGGTAAATTGAAATTTCAATGTTCACAAAATACCATGGTTATTCATAGGAAATATATTTAGAGAGTTTTACATGAGATAAATATTCACAAGAATAGCGTAGGGCGGCTAGAAGTAGTTATCGAAAGCTTTAGATGCGAATGACTGGTAAACGGGTAAATAGAGTATCCAAATAAAATTCAATACGCTTTTGTATATAGGTAACAATATATATTTGATATTACAAAGATTATTCAGACAAATGATGACCTAGCTACAAATATAATTTTATACAATTTTGACAAAATCCGTTTTTCAAATACCTAAGAGAATATTTCATCGTAGTTTTGTACATAATACATTTGTACATTTATATGTAATAGATTCATGTTGATAATCATCTTCTTTTGAAGATAGGTGTGTAACTGTAAATACGTATGTGTGACGATAAATTGAAGGGCATTATTTATGTACCGATTTGAGTAATTGATAATCGAGCGCTTTAAATATTATTATCTATGTAATTCATGCCCGTTTTCATCAACGTATCTTATACAAAGGAGGAACTATAATAAGAACGAATTCAAGTAATAGGTGACTTCACGTGCTCATTTATGCTTCACAATTCTACTTAAGAGATAGTTGAAGAAAACGCGTATTAGTCTTGGATTATTTGTGGGGTGCATCATACAAGAATATGAAAAGAATTACCTATCTATTGAAATTTCGACACAATGTCAATGTGAGGTTCGGATCAAGTAAAAGACAATATTTCGCTTCCGTTTAAAATATTGGGAAAACAAGAAATTCGTCCAAAATGCTGCCAAAAGCTAGTTTAATTTTATGTATTAAGCAACGTGTATAATAATGTATTTGTGTGACGCGTGTGTCGCGAGAATGCGCGCGTAATTTTTGTTTAAGTGTGTAAAATCATCCATTGGCTTCTCTCGCCTTGTGATGCCTTACGTTCATCTATCAAGCATTGTGTCGATGTTTACTTGTGCTTTCCAAATATATCCCGATTCCTCCACACTTTATATTCTTTTTACAACTACTTATTATAAATACTTAGCTAAACTATTAGTTATATAAAATCGTACCTATTATAAATTTTGTATATATTATGTAACTAT